CCGGCGGCCGGGCCCGACCCGAGCCGCGGGGCCCCGTGCCCGGCCGCGCGCCCTGCAAATCCAGCCCCAGGCCTCTGGCGGCTCCAGGCCCCGCGGCGGGGCTGCGGGGAGCTCTGGGGCGAGCGGCTTTGGAGTTGGCCTCGGCCGCGGCGCTGGGGCGCGGGGTGGGAGCCGAGGCCCCCAAGGGGACCGAGGCCGGGCGCGCACTGGCGGGCGGCGGGGCGCGGCGGCGAGGGCCCCGGGCGCCGACCCCGGTCCCCGAGTGGAAAGTTCTGCCGGGACCCCGCGCCTACCTGTGGGTGCCTCTTCCTCGCGGTCCGGGCCGACCCCGGAGCGGAGATTTCCCTGCTCTCTGTGGAGTGATAACATCGTCTCTTCTGAACTGCATTCCTCTACAGTGTGTCAGAGTGAAAAGGCGTTTTGTTAAATTGTTTTATCAGCCGTGTCCGTGTTTGACAACAGCCCACGCCGAAGTTGTCCCCAGCACCTGAGGATATTTCCTTTGTTATGGGTTCTGCCCGGGGAGAGCGCGCAGGCTGGTGTTTCCGATCTGCTCCCCACAGCGGGACAGCGAGGGAGGCGAAGGTGGCTTTGTCCAGTTTTTGCAGGGTGTTTGGGGTGACATTCTCCAATCTTCTTTGAGAGTAAGAAGGAAAAAAAATTTTTTTTTCAGCATTGTTCTCATTTTAACATACATTGGAAACATAGCATATACATTTAACCTTTTGAAGATAATTTTGGGAGCTATTTAGGAACCTGATGCAAGGGTGGTTGATGGAGACTTTATGATCAGCTGTAAAACGTTCCTCCCAGGTGGTTGGTCTCTTACTGAAAATCAAACAGAATTGGGAAATTGGGCAGCTATTTATTTTACAAAGCTGACTATGGCGGGGGACCCTCAAATCTTACATGTAGCATTTTTTAATTTTTATTTTTTTACATGTAGCATTTTAAAGGATTGTTTATCAGTGTCAGTGTACGATTGTGTTCCACATGAATAACCAGGTGGTATACTCTGTAAACCAACATTGGAGGTCACTAAAGAGGGAGGAGTGCCGTGGTGCATCTTTAGCAGTAGCTAGCTGTGTTTCCTCAGTAGAGAGGATGTGGTGGACATTTTCCACGTTGCTAATTCCACGTGCTTAAAATCAGTCATGTTTCATCATGGACCCAATAGACATTGGTTGAACTGCCTGTTTGCAATTGTCTGATTGATCGAATCATCAATTTGTACCACAAAATTAAGCATTTATTATGTCCGAGGCACTGTCCTGGGTGCTGTGCATTTACAGACCCTCTGGCTGCTTTGTGGAAGGAAAGTGGATGTTAAAGGCTGGCACTGGAGGCTCGGGGGTCCCTGGGAGCAGGGGCTCTTGGTGTGGACCATCCTGTAGTGGGGAGCAGAGGGTACCCCTGGAGTGTGGAGTCGGGGTTCAGAGGCCTTAGTCATAGATCTGGGCCTGGGACCTGCGGTTGTTTCTTGAGGACTGGGGAACACAGAAAAGTCCATAGTCAGGGAAGGGGTCCCTAGGAGGAAAAGGACATGCCAGGGAAGGGTGTGTGTGAGATGACCAGTGAGGAAGGGGAGGTAAGAAGGGCGATGTGACATTGGACAGGAACGATCAGAGGATGCAGAGCTTTCCAGAATTGTTCAAGTGCTCTTTGAGTGCAGCTCACATTTAGTAGGTGAGTTTTAAGTTGGGCTTTTTGCAGTTACAAAGTTCAGTAAGTGGATCATAAGACTGTTGACTCTTAAATGTTGCCAGAACCTATTTTGTAAGTCCACGTGCAATTTTTCCTTTTAAATTGTTAGGTAATGATTAAAATTAATCCTCAGTCTTTCTTCCCGTGTAAGGTGATTACAAAGCAAACAAATGTTAACACTTTTAACTTTTATTCTCTTCTCTGTTCTGCTTAGCAGAACAAGATAAAATGTGTGTGGAGAATTGGGTAGCTGGGTAGCTGTAAAGTAGAGGTTAGGTTGCTAGGTGACGTGTGGTGTGATGAACTTCCATCTGGTGGAGAAACATGTGGGCAGATCATGTTTATTGTAAAAAAACCCAAAAAACCCAAAGCCAAAAAAATAAAAAAGGAAAGAGAACCATCCCAACTCACTAAGGGTTTCTTTGCAGTAAGCATTTTGTGGCCTGCTGGGGCTAATTTTTGGCATTATAGTTGTATATTTGAGCTGTTTTCTCTGCAGGTTAAACAAATCAATTTTTCTGGGCAGCAGAATGGTATGACTTAGTACTAGAGATGTCCTCAGTAAGCAGCTATTGGAAGGGTTGCACTCCTGCAGTCACATGTGACGTGTTTCCTTACTGAAGAACACTTCTGTGGTCTTGATCACTGTGGCTGCTTGTCCTCCTCTGTCTCCATCAGCCCCCTCTGAGCAGGGTTCTGCGCTGGGTGTGGAGAACTGTGCTAGCTGGACGAGTTTCACGACTCTTCACACCACAGGGCTGATTGTTACGGATCTGTCCTTGTGCCTGTGGCCTGACACTTAGATTCCTGCTGGATGCAGAGATAGTGCGCCCTCTGAGTGTGGGGTTTGTTGGAGTGCTGCGTACGGTGCACCATGCTTTATGAAGAAACAGAAAAGGAGACAAGAAGAGTGTAATATAGACTAACAGGTGGTGGAAGCAGTGATTGGCAGCTGGACAGACTGGGGCAGTAGTTGTTCCTGGAATTCGGAGGTGGGAGGCACCATCATGGCGTGGGGGGCCCTGTCATTTAGTCACTAGGGTTTGCACTGGGCTTGGTGGGGGGCAAGGTCAGCGTTGATTCAGGACAGCACTTTCTGAGCAGTGGAGAGACTCAGAGCGCGCCTGCCCGGCGGGTGGGAGGGTTCTGGTTCTGTAGGCTCACAGTGGGGTCTGGGTGTGTGGACCTGGAGAGCCTGCCTGCTGCCTTCTGAGGAGTCGGAGGGAAGGTGCTCCGAGAATGGAGCCACTCAGGCATCCAGGGCAGCATGAGCTCCTCGAAGGGTCAGGGTCAGGCTGCGGAGGACTGAGCTGGCTGGCGAGGCTCTGGAACTTTGAAAGTTCAGGGAGGACGCAGTGTTCAGGTAGGGCCACAGTCTCTAGGAAGATAACTGGAGCAGCTGTTGCATAAGAGCTGCCTCTAAGACCCGGCTGCTGAGCAGTAGGCCGGGCAAGGGGGCACCAAGGGCACAAGTGTGGAGGGAGCAGCAGGGCTGTCTCCCTCCCTTCTTCGTCCCCGCCCCCCCTTCGCCCTCCTCTCAGGATGGTGGTGGAGACCTAGGTTTATCCGCTTTCGAAAGCCAACCTTCTAGAGCAGCGGTGGCAACAGTGGGCTGTTTGTGTCACTGAGAGCTCTTGAGAGGTTCGCCGTCACTGTGAGTGAGCCCGGGGTTAGTTATTGCACAGAGGGTGAGTGTGACGTTCTTCCGAGCGACACCTGGCTCATGGTAGCTGTTTCATTGACGAGGCAGTTTTAACCCCCGGGAAATGCTCCCAAGTTCTCTACTCTTCCCACTTTAGTTTTTCCTCTTTGCTTAAAAAGACAGTTTGTAATTTAATTGAAAAATAGGTAGAATATTAATATTTGCCTGTCCTACAGTACCTCAGTGAGAGGAGCGGATTGTGTCCAGGTGTACACGGGGCAGAGAATGTAAATGTTGCCAGTGATGCCTTTGTTAGTTTGGTTATCTGTGCCTCAGATTTTGGGGCCACCACTTCTGTCTCTTAATTGATTGTTGTCATTTCAAAAAAACTTCAGTTTAGGGCCAGAAACTTTTGAAAATGTGGTTTCTTTTTGGGGAGATTATTAATTATGAAAACCATGCAAATCGTGGCCCTTAAGAAAAATCTTGTGGTCTGCATGGGATTCATTTGTGAATAAAGCTGTGAGTGTATGTTATGCATTTACACGCCTATTTAAACCTTTAGGAAAATAGATACACTGTGGCAGAGATTGGGAGAAAATAGACCAAACATAAAATTACAGACATGAAAGAAATTTTATTTTGCTAACATTGTCTTCCTTCTCAAGGAAAAAGAAAGTGAATGTGGGTGAGAGGCCTGTCTTTCCAAACCCGGATCCTCCCCGTGGTCTGCCCTGGGGCCTTGTGCTCCTGCCCACGGCGTAGACCATTCCTGGTGCGCCCCTTCGCTTCCCATTCTGTCCCTCACTGGCTGCGCCCCAAGCGTCCCTTTCTTTTCCTTCTCCCGGCAAGCTTTCTGGAGGCTGTCTCGGGCTCTCCCTCTTTCCTTCCTCTCCTGGGAACTCCCAGAGCTCCTGTGTAGGCATGTGTGTGTGCATGTGTGTGTGCCTGTGACCAGAGTTGCGCCTTCTCCCTGCTGGATGGTGCCGTGTCAGTCTTGGTGGTCCAGCTGAAGTGTGTCACACAGTCGTGACAAAGGTCAGGTAAATACACAGTTGAGAATAAACACATGGGCCGGATTCCTGCCCAGAAAGACTAATCAGCACCTGCCAATTTTAGGGACTCTGGGTTTGCTGTGTTTGGCACCCTGGCACATCGGAGTTTGTCAATGGAACTAAGGTCTGGTGAGATTTGGAGTACCTGGAAGATGCCTCTTGATGTCGGCTGTTTTGAAGGCATTCAGTGTGTTCTTCGGACCATGAGCAGCACAGTCCAGGGTGTGCGCTGGGGCAGGCTCAGAGCAAGTGGCCAGGGCAGTGTGGGAATCTTGCCGGAGACACACCTTGCTTGGTCTGGTGCAGCAAACTCTTGTCAGTTGGGATCCTTGGGTTGGGGCCAGAAGTGAATAGAAATATTTAGGGTCTGAGATCCACCGGAGAAGCTGGCTCATGTGAAGTGCTTGTTGGCTCATGGTGAGCGCGGATGAGTGTTGTCACAGGTGACATCTGAAGCCCCAGGCTGCTCACCCACTGGTGGGTTTCTGTCTGTGCTGGAGGTTTCTCCGCCCTGGAGGCAGAATGCAGGTTGGTAGTGGTGGTATGTTTTTTCAGTGACAGCAATAGGTAAAATTGGTCCAGGAGGTCCCTTCCATAGGTCCTTTACCATAGGGTGGAGATGGCACGTTAAGGCCACTCGATTGACATTCCTACCTGGGACCAAGGTCAGTGGCAGGAGAGCAGCAGGGCAGTGAATTTATGCAATTTTACCTATTGTTGATGCTTTTCTTGTTTTATATGCAAAATAGTGCAAATCTTTATACATGGAGTGGAAAGGAGACTCATTTTGTCTTTACTCCCCACATTTAACCCAAGGCCTTTGAGCTGAGCTACATCCCCAGCCTTTTAAAGTTTTTATTTTGAGACAAGATCTTGGTAAGTCGCTGAATTGCCCAGGCTGTGCTTGAATTTGCAGTCCTCCTGCCTCAGCCTCCCAGAGTGCTGGGATTACAGGCTAGTCATTATTTGTATCTAATTTAAAATTGTCTCCAGTTGGAAAGAGTGTAAAAGTGACTTTCTGTTTTGGATCTGTGCCTTGTGTCTGGCCTGCCATCTTTATGGGCTTTATACTATTGAGTACTACCTTTATGTGTTCCTTTTTTCTTCATCAATTGATATTGGTACTTATAAAACAAATAAAAATTTAAGGTCTGCAAGGGTCTTGAAATATCAATTATTTAATTTCTTTTACAGATAAACTACACTTCATACATATGAGTACATGTGTTTGTACGTACACATATACAGTATATGTATATACACATATATGAGAAATGGAAACACATGTTAACACAAACGTACATGAATGCTCACAGGAGCCGTATTCATAACGGTCTACCTGACAGATACATAAACAGGTTGTGGTCCGCGCATACATTGGGGTCACCGCCGGAGTCTCTGCGGGAAGAGGAGTGGTGACAGTGCTGCAGCATGGGGGAAGCTCGCCCGCACATCCTGTGGTGACCGGGGCGCCCTGGAGCCGCACGCACACCGTGTGACTGCTGGCATAGTACGTGACTGGCCTGGCAGCTCTGAAGACCGCGGTGCAGACCCTGCTGCCCTGGCTCAGGCTGAGCATCCCGAGAGTGGCTGCTGATGGCACTGCTCTTGTTTAGAGGTGATGAAAATGTTCTCAATTTAGGTAGTGGTGGTGATGGTTGCACCAGCAAGTGAACATACTAAGAAGTAATTTAGTTGTATATTTTAC